CATCGGTGGAACGGACCGCGAGCACTACTTCCTGCTGGTTGTTGACGACTACACACGCTACACCTCTGCCTTCCCCTTGCGGCGCAAGGCGGACGTCAGCAATGTCCTGATCTCCTGGATCCGTGCTACTCGTCTCCAGCTGCACGAGCGGTTTGAGCAGGACTTCCCATTCCTGCGTCTGCACTCTGACAGGGGCGGTGAGTTCTCCTCTGACCTCCTTGCGGGGTTCTGTCGAGACGAGGGCATCCGCCAGACGTTCACGCTTCCGGCCTCTCCTCAGCAGAATGGGATTGTTGAGCGTCGCATTGGCTTGATCATGGAGGTTGCTCGCACCTCCATGATCCATGCGGCTGCTCCCCATTTTCTGTGGCCGTTTGTGGTCCGATACGCTGCGCATCAGCTCAACCTCTGGCCCCGTGTCTCTGTGCCAGAGACCTCGCCCACCCTCCGGTGGACGGGGAAGCCTGGTGATGCGTCAGTGTTTCGGGTCTGGGGCACGCTCTCCCTTGTTCGCGATTCCAAAGCGAGCAAGCTCTCCTCTCGTACTCTCCGCTGCGTCTTCCTTGGCTTCCCCACTGACGCCCCGCCGTGGCAGTTCTACCACCCGCGCTCGCATCGAGTCTTCTCCTCCCAGGACGTCACCTTTGACGAGTCTGCCTGTTACTACCAGTTACACCTGCACGCGTCCCACCCGGTCCCCCTCGCACCCCTCTTCCTGGTACCAGTCCCCCCCCCCGGTAGACCCCCTCCTCCCACAAGGTCCTGCTCCCTCAGGTGTGTCTCAGGTCGACCCACCCCCCTTGGATGACCCAGTGGAGATCTCTTCAGACTCCTCTGGCCCAGCTGAGGGGGGTGACCCAGTTGCGGACGACACGGCGGCCACTCGCCGCTCTCCACGCTTGGAGACCCCCCCCGGGTTTTCCGCCTCGACAGTCTTCGCCGCCTCCGCAGCCTGCTGCTGTGGACACTGGAGCTGAGACTACAGGTGCTGAGACTGGGGGTGCTGAGCCAGGGGGTGAGGGCTCTGGAGGTGATGTGCCTGGGGGTGCTGGTTCTGGGGGTGCTGCGACTGGGGGTGCTGACTCTGGGGGTGCTGCGAGTCCTAGTGGCAGTGGAGTTGTGGGTGACCCTGTTGGAGGTCCTGGAGCTGGAGGTACTGGAGCTGCTAGGCCTGGAGGTACTGCTGTAGGTACTAGAGGTGCTACTGGTGCTGGAGGTACTGGAGCTGGAGGTACTAGAGGTGCTTCTGGTGCTGGAGGTGCTAGAGCTTCCACTACTGGAGGTACTGGAGCTGGACAGCCACCGCAGCCTGCGCCACTTGAGACGCTCTCGCTGCAGGCGACTCGTGCGTGGGTCGTTCGGCGAGGCAGTCCCGGTGGTGGAGGGTACGGTCCTGCTGGTGCTGGAGCTACTAGTCCTGGAGGTGCTGCTGGTGCTGCAGGTGCTGGTGGTACTACTGGAGGTACTAGAGGTGCTGCTGGTGCTGGAGGTACTGGAGCTGCTAGGCCTGGAGGTACTACTGTTCGTACTGGAGGTGCTACTGGTGCTTTAGGTGCTGGTGGTACTACTGGAGGTACTAGAGGTGCTGCTGGTGCTGGAGGTATTGGAGCTGCTAGTACTGGAGGTGTTGCCGGTGCTGGAGGTACTGGAGCTGGAGGTACTGGAGCTGCTGGTGCTGGAGGTACTACTGTTCCTGGAGGTGCTGGGGGTACTGGAGATGCTGGCACTGGAGGTGTTGGTGCTACTGGTGCTGGAGCTGCGGGAGCTGCCGGTCCTGGAGGTGCTCGTACTAGAGGTACTGGAGCTGCCGGAGCTGGTGGTGCTGCTCGTGCTGGAGGTGTTTCTGGAGCTACTGTCCCTGGAGGTGCTGGTGCTACTGGTGCTGGAGGTGCTGGAGGTGCTACTAGAGCTGCTGGCACTGGAGGTACTGGAGGTACTACTGGTGCTGGAGGAGCTGGAGCTGGAGGTATTGGATGTGCTGGAGGCGCAGGTGCTACTGGTGCTGGAGGTGCTGCTGGGGGTACTGGAGGAGCTGCTCGTGCTGGAGGTATGGGAGCTGCTGGTGCTCTTCGCCACCTTCTCAGTCTTCCGCCAGGTGCTACTGACTTCCGAGTGGCAGGTACTACTCCTCCGTTACTGTTTCCACCGGCAGACCAGTCTCAGCCGCCGCTCCTACCGCACTACCCACTGCCTGCTCCTGCTCCTTACACTGCGGTGACACAGTCCCTGTCTGAGCGTCGAGAGCCTGAGACTCGTGCTTCCACCCCTGAGCGTCGAGAGCCTGAGTCTAGCTTTGACCTTGAGCCCGAGCCTAGTGCCGCTGTCCGTACTCGTGTGCGTCGTCCTCGTGCTCCGGCTGTCCCAGGCACTCACGATATGACACTCCGTCCTTCCTCTGTTCCACAGCGTGTTGTCCTGCCGTTACCTCCTGCGTCCTCTCTTCCTGACATTGCTGACCCTCCGTCTGACCTTGCTCGTGCGTCCAGTCCGACTGTTACTGCTTTCTGGCTACGGTGGTGACTGACCCTTCGTTCTCGTCTCCTGCTGCGTCTGCTTTAGTCGCTGAGCTCGTTGACTTTGCTGCTGTGTACCGCCTAGACTACCTTGCGAGTCTTGTTTCTGACCCTGTCCTTGCCTGTCCTCCGTCCGTCGGGGGTGAGACTGCCCTTGGCTGTACTGCCCTTGGCTGTGACATTCTTGAGGACAGACAGGAGGAGCTGGAGTGCCTTGCGGCCGCTGCACCCCATCTCGCGACCATGCTGCTTGCCCCTGAGGGAGACCCGGATGCACTTGACATCCCCACCCCGCGCTCTTACAGAGAGGCGATCTCGGGTGAGTACTCCTCTCAGTGGCAGACAGCCATGGACGCAGAGATGGCTTCCTGGAAGTCCACAGGCACCTACGTCGACGAGGTTCCCCCACCTGGGGCGAACATCGTCAGTGGCATGTGGGTTTTCAGGGTGAAGTGGCCGCCGGGTTCTCCGCCTGCCTTCAAGGCACGTTACGTTGCTCGAGGCTTCAGTCAGCGTGCGGGGGTCGACTTCTTTCAGACCTTCTCCCCCACCCCGAAGATGACCACTCTTCGGGTGTTGCTACACGTTGCAGCTCAGCGTGACTACGAGCTGCACTCCCTCGACTTCTCGACAGCTTTCTTGCAGGGTAGCCTTCACGAGGCTATCTGGTTGCGCCGTCCAGAGGGCTTCACTGGGTCGTTTCCTGAGGGCACCCAGTGGAGCCTACGGCGACCAGTGTACAACCTGCGTCAGGCGCCCCGCGAGTGGCACGACACACTGAGGACGACACTTGCGGCTCTTGGGTTTGCTCCTTCGACTGCTGACCCGTCGCTGTTTCTACGCACCGACACTACTCTGCCGGCGTTCTACATCCTCGTGTACGTCGACGACTTGGTTTTTGCTACTGCTGACACTGGCGCACTGGCCCTAGTGAAGGCGGAGCTGCAGGAGAGACACACCTGCACTGACCTGGGTGAGCTGCGGAGCTATCTTAGCTTGCAGATCACCCGGGACAGAGCACGGCGCACCATCACCCTCACTCAGTCACACATGGTGCACCAGGTCCTTCAGCGCTTCGGCTTCACGTGGTCCTCGCCACAGCCCACTCCTCTGTCTACCGGCCACTCGCTCTCAGCTCCACCTTCGGACGAGTCCGTAGAGCCGAGTGGTCCGTACCCAGAGCTTGTGGGTTGCCACATGTACCTGATGACGTGCACACGACCTGACCTCGCGTACCCTCTCAGCCTCCTGGCTCGCTACGTGGCACCCGGTAGACACCGAAAGGTGCACTTTGATGCTGCGAAGAGAGTACTGCGTTACTTGTGCAGTACATCGGGCATTGGGGCTCGTGCTTGGAGGACGGAGTTCAGTGGTACTCACAGGACACTCTGACGCTTCTTGGGCCGACGACCAGGCGACTCAGCGTTCGACACAAGGTTACACCTTCAGTCTTGGCTCTGGTTCTGTCTCGTGGAGGTCCACTCGTTCTTCTTCTGTGCTTGGCTCCAGCTGCGAGGCCGAGATCTACGCTGGGGCCATGGCTGCACAGGAGCTACGCTGGCTGACCTACCTGCTGACCGACTTGGGGGAGCGGCCTCGTTCTCCTCCAGTTCTTTACGTCGACAACAAGGCAATGCTTGCCTTGTGTCGCGAGCAGAGACTGGAGCACAGAACGAAGCACATTGCTCTTCGCTACTTCCTTGCGCGTGAGCTGCAGCAGCGTGGTCAGCTGCGCCTTGCTTACGTGGCCTCTCGGGCCAACACTGCTGATGTCTTCACCAAGGCCCTTGGGTCTGGTGATCATCAGCGTTTCTGCACTGCTCTTGGGCTTGTGCCCACTCTGCCTCACCTGCTGGTTGCTTGACTTGCTCTTGTTGTACACTGATATATATATATTTATACCTGCATGTTTACTCTTGCTAGGTTGTGATCAGTGTACTGCCTTGCTATTATAACTCTGCATGTGAACTGGCCTTGTGGCCGCTTGCTTGTGCTCAGATTGTGTGGTGTCCTTGAGATCCACCCTGAGCTTTGCTTTGCTTTGTTCTCCTGCTTGACTGGTCTTGTGACCGTCTGTTGTGTTTGCTATCTCCCACTTAGCCTATGGGGGTGTGTCAAACTGCATGTTTGTGTTATCTCTAGGCTATAGTGGGTTAGCCTACAAGGGGTACAACACTCTAGGGTTAGGACTACTTGTAGTGCCCTTCCTTCTCAATACAATCATTCCTGCCTGCTTATTCTAACATGGATGAATGCTCAAGGAACATGCTCAGCATAATCCGGAACCATAGTTGAGACCATTGCAATTGAATTAGATTACTGTAGCATCAAACAGAATACAACCAATGTTGACAGCACATCAGCAATGGCACTTGTCTAAAAGCACTGCCAAAAACATAGCTCATAAGCTGAGATTCCTCTACCTAAAACATACAAAAGAAATCAGAATCTATGCATAATCATGTTACACCCCTTGTGATCACTGTATCAATGATTATTCTTGTGCTTTCCTCCTTTCTTCTTCCCACCACCCTTTTTGCCTTTTGTCGGGGGTCGTGGGGGTGGGGGAGAGGGAGGGCTAGGAGGGGGAGGAGGCAGGGGGTCAGGCCAAGGGGTGGACTTGGCACGGACAGTAATGGGCAGTTGCGGTGATACAACCCACCTGCGGATCATGAAGGGAGGGGAAAGAAAGAATGAAAACAATGAGTAAAGGAAGGAATAGGGGAGGAGGCAGCGGGTCAGGCCAGGGGGTTGACTTGGCACGGACAGTTATGGGTTGCGGTGATACAACCCACCTGCGGATCATGGAGGGGAAAGAATGAAGGAAAACAATGAGTAAATAATGGGAGAGGAGGCAGCGGGTCAGGCCAGGGGGTTGACTTGGCACGGACAGTAATGGGCAGCTGCGGTGATACAACCCACCTGCGGATCATAGGGGAAACAAGGAATGAAAATGAGTAAAGAAAGGAGTGGGGGGAGGCTGGGGGTCGGACCAGGGGGTGGTGACTTGATGCAGACATCAATGGGCAGACGCAGGGAGATAACCAGATAACCCACCAGCGAATGATCAAGACCCGTCAGTCACTCTGCACCAATCGCACTCTCTCACACGCCACACCGGCACCAAGACAAGTCATTCTGCAGGGAACTGGCGCATCTCAGCCTCCCACCAACACACAAGCTCTCCTCATGTCTCCATTGCACCACTTTTTGACTAGCCAGTACCAGGCTCACTCACTCTGCAAAACCCAACATCACTCACCCTGCACAACCCAACGCCACTCACTCTGCAGGAAACTTGCTGTCTTGGCGCGCCTCAGCCCTCCACCACCACGCGAGCACGCGCCGTCCGCACTGCCCAATCAGCCGCACCTCTTTCTCGTTCCGCACCACCGCACCCAGCAGGTCAAACAGCCGCCCCTCTGCTACCGAGCCTGCCACCGAACCTCCTTCCGAATCTTCTTCCGAGGCTCCTTCCAAACCTTCTTCCGAGCCTCCTCCCAGGCCTCGTTCCAGCTCAGGGCCCCATTCATCCCAGCCTCGCACCCAATCAGGAAGCTCCTCTTTTCTAGCCCATAGTAACCGTGAGTTAAAGACATACCCATGCCATAGCATGCCCCTCCGTTGCTCCTCCTCCGGTCCTAGGGAGTTGTAACTTGGTAACCCGGCTAGGAGGCGATCCGGGTGGTGTACCACCGTGTGCCATCCGATAAGAACAGACTCGTTATTGCACACAGGGCCCTGCACGGGCATCTGATAGCGCGTCTGCTTGCCTACCCGCAACATGCTGGAAGACGCTGATTGGCTACTGGCTTGTAACAGCCTGCGTTGTGGTAACCGCATTTTACTTTGCTCATCCCCATCGCCAACCCCATTCCCTCCCTCTCCCTGCTTCCCCTGCGTCTGCTGCAGCTTTTGCTGCTGCGTCTGCCATTCCCCTTGCCCCTCCTGTTTCCTCTCCTCCCCTTGCTGTATCCGCTGTTCTCCTCCACCCATCTCCCCCACCCGCCCCTCCCCATCCACTCCCCCACCCGTTCCGCCAGCCTCCCCACCCTCTGCTCCTTTCTTCCTCTCTGCTCCTCCCCCTTCTAACGCTAACCCTACCCCCGCCGCTGCTGCAGCCTCGACACTCCCAGCACCGCCACCGCCGCCACTGCCGCTGCCCTCACTAGAATCAACGCTAGCAATGCGCCTACCATGCCCATGCCCGCGCTTCTGCTTCCGTCCCTGCCCCTTGCTCTTCCCCAGCCCTCCCCCCTGACTGCTCTGCTCCTCCGCCTGCTCTTCCGACCCCATAAGCTCGGTGAAGCCGACCGGCAGCAGCACGCCTACCGAGCCTGCGCCGAACCAAGGCACGCGCTGAGCCTCGGCAAAGAACTTCGGGGAGAAGACCGAGCCGTCATCCGCGAAGACCACGATGCCGTCCAGCCTGCGCTCTCGAACGTACCTGTGAGGTTCGGGAAAGGTACGGAGGTCAGCATTTGTCAGATATAAGTTGGTGAACCGTATAAGCTAATGACGTCGCACCCACCTCTCTCAGCAATCACCCACCTTCTATCCCCGCACCCACCTCTCCCTGCACACCCAACCCCTCACGGCGAACGCCCACCCCCTCAACGCGCACACCCAACCCCTCCCCGCACACGCACCTTAGTCCCACGACTCGCATCCGTTGCTCAAGCAGAATTCGCTCGTCCCAATCCTCGGCCATTTCCTCCTCCACGCCCAGATGCGCGATTTCCACCTCGGGATTCTCCGACCCGCTGTCCCCGATAGTAGCCTTCGCGATAATCCGCGCGGTTTCTTCCGTTTTCGTCGCCTCAATCACCACCCACAGCACCGGCGCTTGTACCCGTTTTAGTGAGTTGATCAACCCTAGCATGAGCAGCTGCTGGAAAGTTCGCTTGTAGGTCGGCGTGATGACTATAACGCGGCGAGGAGGGGGAGACGACAGCCGTCCGTCCTCCTGCGCGAGCAATCTCAGCCGTTCGTTCTCCTGCAGCAGTCTCAACAGCGATTGGCTGACGACCAGCTGACGTGGATCCGGAGACGGGTTCGGCCGGATGAGGATTTCATGACGGCCGGTTTTCACGCCGGCATCCTCATCGTCATCTCCCGCGGGCACTTTTAACGGTCCGTCAGACGTGAAATTCCAGTGTAAAGCCAAGTCCCATTCGCAAGCCAAGGGATCGTGAAATTCTTTCACCACAGGCTTCGGTTGATCATAACGGGACATCGCCGGAGAGATGCCCGTTTCAGCCATCAGAAAGCGGTCTGTAAACGCGTGAGGATCGCCGCTTGGTACTATATCGAATCGGGCTAAATCGGAGCTGTAGGAGCCTATACTGGAGCCTGGACGGAGGATAAGAATCTCCCTAGCGAGACGTAGGCCGAAGAACATAGCAGCCGAGCAGGCGAAGAAATGAACAGCGACGGGTAACACAAACGCGAGGTGAACCATGAGCCATCTAAAGAGACCTAAGTGATGTATACTATGGAGATGCGAATACGAGTCCATTTGGCTTCGTTTTAGAGCACTACCTTGTCGCATGCCGCCGTGCGACGACTGCGACGACGATTCGTTATTATTCGCCTGATCGGAGTCTGAGGCCGAGCCACTACCACTACGAACTGATACGCGACGGACACGGATCATCAACGCACGAGCAGCTCCCACAACCTTATTTGTCATACAAGCGATGTGCGAACTACTGACCGTAACCTAGTAACCACCTCAACGCGGAATACTACCTTCGAAGCCTAAGACTAGGCTAGGCGCGTTGCGACCAGCGCTTGTTGCGCCGAGACTCCCGCGCCATTGTTCACAAGCCTACCTGAATATGCTTGCTCCTACCCTGGTAATAGGACCACGATAAGCTGACCCAGCCTAAACCGAGAGGGAGGAGACGAGGAGAGCGGAGACGCGGGGAGAGGAGACAGGCCGGCGTAGGAAGCTAGCTGGCTGGTCAAATCGGGTCAGGGGGAAGGCTTACGCGCTGCTCCGTACCGCACTAAAAAATGACAAGTTAGGCGATTCGTCCTAAATGGACACGGACTAACCTCAAGGGTTAATGTTTGACAGTAACGAGCGAGTAGGCCGGCTCGAGGTCAAGAGCCAAGGCTATCGAGGAGACGTCCGACAAGTCGCACGGCGATTCGTTCCTGCGCTGCGGCTGCTTGCTGAGTTGGCAAGCGCGTCGCTTGTGTTGCGAGGAAAGTGGCTGGCGACAAGGGGGGTATTGCCTGCGAGATGCCTCAACGGAAAGAGGGTCGACGGTCGATCTTGCCAGGGAAACGATTTTGCCCTTTTTGCATTCCCTATGGGTTTTATTTGTTTTCTGCCCCGGTCAGGGGCGGGGTTGTTTGTCCGTTGAGGTCTTCTAAGTGGGACAGGCTAGGAGCAAGAATTATAGGGCAAAGAAATGGATTAGGGCAGGCGAGAAACAAATATTTCTTGTATGCTTGGCATACGGCCAGCCCAGATTCGTTCCGAGGGATGTGAAACTCCCTATGGGAGATAGGCGGGGTATTTTCCTGGGGAGGGGACAAGGGGGAAAAAGGACGGGTTGGGGAGAAGAGGTGGAGCCGGGGATGTGTCGGGAGGAAGCGGGGGGATGTCTGCTGGGTGAGGTGTACAGTACATCGTCTCCCGCCAAATATGACATGACAGTGGTGGGGGGACGGTGTTTGAACGGATAAGATGGAGCAGGGTTGACCTGATCAATAAATCGATGGCTGGTGTAAGGCGGATGCTTTGTAGGGGGACTGGAGGATGCGCCAACCTGGGAGGTTGGCGCTGCTGTTGGCTGACGGTGTGGAGGGGCAGAGGTCGAGGCGCGAAAGTGTGCGCCACAGAAGCGGAAGTGAAACTTTCGATAGTGGATGTAGTGGCGCGGGTACAGTACTTTGCGGATCCCTGTGATTGGTCAAGCACTCGACCCAGCGCTGGACAGATGAGCTGTTTATGTGCGAGACGCAGTCGCGTGCTTACATCGAGTGGATCGGCGGCGGCACCTTCGTTGTCAGAGACGTGCCCAGAACTTGACGTCGCACAAGCGGGTGATTGGTGACGACGACTGTTCGTGTGTCTCCCTTGATCGCAGCGCAAGCTCCACAACAACAGTCGTAAGGAGCTTCTCGATAATACACCACCGAGGTTGAACAGAAGTGTTGTACTCACCCGACCCATTTCCAATAAAAATGAAAACATGCCATTGAATCATTCATGATGTATCTTATATGTAGATCCCTACTGATGAACTGCACCAGTGTTCTCATGGACACAGCACCAGTGTTCTCACGGGCACAGCTTCACCTGATGCTATCTTGGACCCTAAATTATTTCATTGATAACATCTTCAACCCACATGCACCATAAGTCCATATGAAATGTGAAGCCTGGAACACATAAGGTATGTTACTAGATTCTCACACTTTCACCAAAAGTGGAGATTGTAACAATGGGAACCCTGGACGAAAATATAGATGCACCATCATCACAATGCTCTGTGCCTTCATCCCTACGGCACCTGGGATCTGTACCTTGGCGTACCAACCCACTTGAAAAGGGATCAGGCCCAGGAAGGGTTGTGATTAGCGATCCCACGCCAACACCACTAAATCCCACCCCTGGTGCTAAAACAGAGGCAGCTGGAAGGGCTGCAGTTGAACCAGTGTAATCAGTGGTAGAAGTAGCAGCGTCAACCTGAACAGTGGTTGTGACGGGGTTTGCAGATGCTGTTTGCGTCTGTGAGTTCTCCTGTTGCACGTTGGCGCTCCCCAGCCCTGTTCCGTCTTTCACGGCACGGGCTGCTTGGTTGTTCACCGCCCCCTGATTGTTGATGCTTCCTGCATTGCCCAACTGAAATGGACACAAGAGAAGAGCGTCACACGGAAGGTGGTTCGGATCTTCTTTGTTACTTATCAAGGTGAAGATCGACCGAAGTTAAAATAAAAGGTCCGTCTCGTTTCCCCGAGAATGCTTACTTGTTTGTAGTAGACGTTTCCTGCACCTGGACCAACTTGTTTGCGGCTTAAGTGGCCATCCTGAAAGGAAAACACCCAGCAAAAACGAAATCAGTTTGATCGAAACCGGTTGCTTGATGCAGAGTGAGGTAAAGAGGAGCAATGCCTGACCTCTGTGAATCATCACAGCCGTTTACCAAAAATTGCACAAGACGGGATTCAAAGTACTAAACGAGATTTTTTTCGAGTTTATTGAACAAGTAACGCACGAGAAGGTAGAAGACGTCGAAGTGCTCCCATTCGAGCCCCTTTGAGAAGCGTTTGCCAGAACGAAGAGGACGGCCGTCGCCAAGTGATGACTGAAACAAGTAAAGAAACGTCAAGAGGAACTTGAAGTTTCGGAAGCGGAGATTCATGATGGCGGCGTTATAGAGGCTTTCGTGGAGGCAAAGAACACCGAAATGGGACACAAATGGCAGAAATACATTGTCCTTCTCATTATTGTCCCGGAATGACTAAATCTCCACATTATCGGGGGAAAGGGCGAAGGGAGCAGGACAGAGAGCACGCTCGCGTTTTCTAAAGCTCATGCGAGAAAATCGAAGTGCCAGTGGCGAGCTAATCAAGACGGAAACGAGTTTCCCTACTATCTGATTTTCCTACTAGGTAACGAGTTGTGCAGGCGGACTAATCAACCAGATGGGGCACGTATTTTCAGCTTAGAATTCTGGTCCGAAAGGTTCAAGCGAAAAAACAAAACGGGTCATATTGTAACCGCGTTGACCTGCCTTGCCGCTCCAGATGCCACAAAAGTGACACCTGAAAGTACTTCAGTTGCGCTTTGAGTCGTAACCACCTCGAACTGGCGGTCGCAACGCAACGATTGTCGAGTTTCAGGCGAGCGTAAACGCCCTCGCAGACTCGTTGAAAGTATCGCCGCACGATTTCGCCTTCATTGGCTGGCGAAATGAAATTGTTTCGAAAGTGCCGTGCGAGGACTTCAAAGCAGACAGAACGAGGTATGTGTACGCTGAACCGAGTAACCGCATTTGAACCGCTCCTCGTGAGTCGGGAACTTTGATCAGCAAAGCCTCGCAGAATTTGTGCACTCTCCGCAATTTCGCAATTCATTATACACCAAATCCGCTACAAGCACGTTTCCGCATCCTACGGAAATTCTTCAGAGGAATCGAAGTCCTTCGGCAAATGGCGCGAAGGCAGCAATCTCGATCATTTCTTCGGCTCAGATTTAGGAAAATGGTTGGAAAAACTCATGAAATTGTATTCTTATTCGGTCTGTCGTCCCTCCTCATAGCTGTTTTTCCATGCGCGGCTTCGTCAACAGAAGGACAGCAATTTGTAGCCGTTGATTCGGCTGCAAGGCAATGGCCGATGGTGGTGAACGTGTGGCCGTTTCTAGAAGCCAATAGTCGGGCATGGGAGGTGCTGACACGTGGCGGATCCGCACTGGACGCGGTGGTGGAAGGATGTAACGTGTGCGAGGTGCTTCAGTGCGATGGATCAGGTGCCACGTCAGCATGATTAGTATCTCAAGAGCCCTCATTTTAACTTGCGCCGACCACTTATCTCGTCCAATCTCCTCGTGTATCCTCTAGTTTGCCCCCATACACCCCCCTTCTCCTCTCCCTCCTCACACACTCCCTCCCCCCTTCTTCCCCCTCCAGTGGGGTATGGAGGAAGTCCGGACGAGAAGGGGGAAACAACACTCGATGCCATGGTTATGGATGGGGTGAGAGATGGGATGACGTCATGAGCACGCATGGGGTGACGTGGGATGACGTCAAAGTTACTGCATGGGGTGAGATGGGATGATGAAGAGTACCTTATTACCCTTCTTAATCAACTCTTACGTGTAGAAAGTGTATTTTTGAGACGTCTCAAAAATACACTTTCTACACGTGGTAATTACCCTTCTGAATCAACTTTTAAAGCTGTCGCCTACATACTTCCTGCGGGAGGACCAGGTTTATCACTTGAAAACCTGGTAGCACTGAGCTTCGCTCCAAGCTTGAGTGGCGAGGTGCAGTTACTGCTCTCTGACAACCCAATCCCCCCTCTGAAAAGTGGCCAGCTCAGGATTGGCTTACAATTTTCGCGCCAATCTCCTCCCCAATCTCGATTGGTTGAGGGTTGTGGCGAAATCGCGAACACAACCCCAACCTCACGAAATAAGTACCCCCCAACCGAACCATGCACGAAACTGGCGGGATTCGCCAGTTGTGTTTGAAACCTTCGCGCCCTCTTTTCTGGAAAAGGATTATTTCGTGAGCAAATCAGACTGCGTCCTAGGGTGTGCACCCGAAATACCCCCTGAAATTACCATTTCGAATGTAGACCGCAGCTTTAAGGCAACTTGGAACATGTTGAGGCATACACATTTTCGGACAACTGTACCCCCCCACCCCCCTCTCCTCCAGACCTTCCCCTTCGCCCCATCTCCTCCCTTTTCCACCGCTCAATCCCTCCAATTACCAAATTCCCCACTCTGTGCCTCCACCGCCACTTCCCCTTCTCTCCCCCCATTTTCTCCCCCTCCCATTCTCTTGCCCCTCCCCAACCTCTCCCGTTTCTCCCCCTTCTCCCCATTGCCAATGCCTCCATGAGCGTGGGGCCAGTGGCCGGCCGGTGCCAAGTAATTTCTTAAGACGTCTCAAAAACCGTTTCCCGTTCTCTTGCCCGCTTGCCTCTCCTCTCTCCCCCCACTCTTCCCCCAACCCTCTCCCCCCCGTCCCCTCCCCCCCGCCCCCCTCTCTCTCCCCCCTCCCCAAGGACTCCATGGACGTGGGGGCAGTGGCCGGCCTGCGCCGAGTCAAGGCGGCAGTGCGGGCGGCGTATCTTGTCCTCTTGCACACGTACCACTCGCTGCTGATCGGCGACGCAGCAACGGACTTCGCCCTGGAAATGGGCCTGGCCGGCCCGGAAGATCTCTCCACCAATCGCTCTCTCGCCATGTGGCGCCAATGGAAGGCCGCCAGCTGTCAGCCCAACTATTGGCGCAACGTGACGCCTGATGCCGCCCGTTACTGCGGCCCCTACCGCCCGGCCACTGCTCCAGGATCACATGCTTCCGAACCAAGCGGTGGTGCCACGGCCGAGCCTCAGGGGGCCGAAGCAGGTGCCGGACCTGGTGGTGCCGGACCTGCAGCCGGACCTGGTGATGTGCGCGTGGGGTGTGATCCACGTCTTGTTGGCCGGGAGCAAGGCTTGTTGAGGAGGCGAAACCGCCTGGCATCACACGACACCATCTCCATGGTTGCCATAGCACAGGTGCGGTGCGGTGCGGTGAGGTGAGGTGCGGTGACAGGTTCTGGGCTGTTCTTGTGTCGGCCTAAGACTGCTCTCCTGTGCCTGATATGCGGACTCTTTTGAACTGCACTGCATGTACACATGCAGCACATATGCACAGCACGTGTGCCCACTGCCCACTGCCCCCTGGTACCATGCCCCCATATGCATGACGTCATTACCTCATCTGCACACTGTCTGTCTGTCGTCACCCCATGTGCGTGACGTCATCACATGGTGCCCATGACGTCATCTCACTATGCCCACGACGTCATCACCCCCATGCCCATGCCATCAGAACGGCAGCATGGCTGCAGCGACATCCACCAACGGACTCACCTTCCACATCCCTGGGAGGTATGTTGTTACTTCTGTCATCATATCCATGTCATCATGTGTCATCAAACCCATGTCATCATACCCATGTCATCAAACCCATGTCATCATACCCATGTCATCATACCCATGTCATCGTACCCATGTCATCATACCCATGTCATCATACCCATGTCATCATACCCATGTCATCGTACGATCCTGTTCCCATAGCAATGTGGATTCACTTGCTCACCCACTCACTCGCTCATGCACTCACTCTGTCACTCATTCACCCCCCCTCTATCCTTGCTGTTCTCTCCAGGGTGGGTGATGCACCCATAGCAGGAGCAGGAGCATATGTGGACTCAAGAGTAGGGGGCTGTGGGGCGACAGGACTGTTTTGAACTGACTCACATCACTCTTAAGTCACGCACTCACTCACGCACTCACTCACGCACTTACGCACTCACTCATGCACTCACTCATGCACTCACTCACGCACTCACTCACGCACTCACTCACGCACTCACGCACTCACTCACGCACTCACTCATGCACTCACTCACGCACTCACTCACGCACTCACTCATGCACTCACTCACGCACTCACTCATGCACGCACTCAGTCATCCCCTCTATCCTTGCGCTCCGCTCCAGGGTGGGTGATGCACCCATAGCAGGAGCAGGAGCGTATGTGGACTCTAGAGTGGGGGTTGTGGGGCAGTGATATTCACCCACTCACTTGCTGGTGACACATTCCCCCTCTCACTCCCTCCCTCTCATTGTTCCCAGGGTGGGTGATGCACCCATAGCAGGGGCAGGAGCATATGTGGACTCCAGAGTGGGGGGCTGTGGGGCAACAGGAGATGGTGACGTCATGATGAGGTTCCTGCCATGGTATGCTGTGCTGACATTGTGGCTTGGCAAGCTGATGATGTCTCAACACTTGTTGACATTGACATCACTGCATTTTTCAGTTGGAAACCAAACACGGGTTTTTCACATAAAGACACGTTAGATAGATTTTACCCTCTCTCACCCCTCTGTACCCCTCCACCTAATTCCTTTCTTGCTGCTTTCCTTCTGTTGCTCCTCCCTTCACTATTCCAGCTTTCTAGCAGTTGAGCTCATGCGAATGGGCTCTACCCCAGCCTCGGCTGCCGAAGCTGCCATCAGTCGCATCCGAGCCAAGTTCCCAACCTTTCAGGGAGGCTTGGTGGCGGTCAACAGGTTTGGGGAGCACGGAGCAGCGGTGAACAACTGGGTGCTACAGTACACTGTAGCTTCGCCTGCAACTGACGGTACACCACGCGTGTTTACGGTTCATCCCAAGTGTTGAGGAATAATATTGAAATTAATACGTATAATATGTCAGTTGTTCGGCACCATAGAATAGAAGCATGATCGGAGTACATTAGCTGTTCGATATCACCATGAACAGGATGTTGACATGAACGAACCCTGATACATCAGGAGCAACCCAAGCCCTGCCCTGGAAATTCAGGATCCACGTAAAAAGACCGCTCTGAAAAATTAGTGCGTCTTTTCATATTCGAAGGATTTGCCCAGGCATCAGGGTCTGGTATCGAATCAAATTTATACTGAAGGGGTGATGCGGGCCTTTCATGAACTGATTTGTCGCCAGCTTCAATTGACCACCAGAGCCCAAGGTGATGGTCCCGAAGTGACCATCTCGAATTGTCAATTTCAAGGTCACATTCGTTCACGGGGGTTGAGCTTGCACTTCTCGCCAATCTCGAGAGCTTGCTGTTCGGAGTCTAGCATCGAATCTCTGCCTGGTAGACTAGAATCCATTTGCTGCTCCTGCCTCTTCCACGGCACGAGCAAGAGGCAGAGAGCTCGTCTGCGAAAGTAGCACTGGTTCGACCATTTTATGAGTAGTCCATCACGAAGAACATGAGCGGTTTTTAGATAATAACTGCAAAGTTTATAGGGTTTTGAAGCGTCATACTGCGTAGGAGCGCTCCGTGTAGCCGTGACTCATTGACATTGATCGCAGATTCGGTTCCTCTGCTATTCGCCATGGCGTGTGTAGTTCCTTCAACCCCGTCAGTCATGTCGATCTGTAGCCTCGACTACACGCGGATCTGTCGTCGTCCTTGCGTATCGCTTGATAAAAACCACGTGGATTCAGTCAGATATGTTTTTCCGTCATGGTCGAGCCCGTACCAGCGTAGACTCAGCCCACTGGACCACTCCGTACGGAAATCCTTCGTCAGGATTCGAAACCGTGACCGGAGAGTTGCGGTCAGATGCAATGCTAAAAACTCTTCCGTGCCAGCAGACTCTCCCGAGACGGAGGTCGCAAACCTTGGAGTTGAACCGACGGCCGATGACAAGCCGACCGTCGGGACGGAGTATGAGGCGCGTGAAGTGAGGGAGGAGGAGATAGGAGCTGATAGAGAAGGCGAAGTGAGCGTAAAAGCTTCTAAGGAAAAGCAGGGAAGAACCGAGGAAGTTGGGGGTAAGAGGCGTGGGAGGAGAGCAGGCAATGCGAAGGCAAGAAGCGAAGGGAGCGGGAGTAAGAGCGGAGAGGGGGAAGCATCCGAGGAGGAAGAGGAGGCTGTGGCAGTGATTGCTCAAGTGCTGATGAAGAAATACGGACCTCAGATAGTGAAAGAGGAGGATGAGGGGCTTGGGAACGGAAGGAGTGGGGGATGGGAGGAGATTGAAGGAGGGGAAGCATCGGATGCAGCAACGGTGGCGGCGGTGGCGGCGGTGGCGGCAGCGGCGGCGGTCGAGGAGGAAGTTGGAATGGACACAGAAATGCAGGATGAGGAAGTAGAAGCAGAAGCGAGTGAGGAAGGTATACCAAGCATGCCATCTCGTCCTCGTGCCACCTCTCGCTCCTCCCTCCTCTCCCTCTACCGCTTCTTCTCCTCCCACCTCGGCATCTCCTCCCCTTCCACTATCGCTTCCCTCCTCGCTTCCAATCCCCAACTCCTCCGCTCCAACCCCACCAATGACCTCGTTGTTGACTAGTATTGGGATCTAGAAACTCTATGCACGCCCTTTTAATTCACTCTTAGTAGTCCCCACGGGGTCACCTCCAAGGGTCCTCGGGTGCCTGGCAAAGCCAGCCCCTAAGTGTAAAGACAACGACGTGCACTAGAGCACTCCCAAAATCCTTTGCGTAGCGTTGAAGACGAATTGGCCCGTGTGCAGAAAATTCTCTTCACGTCAATACGTTGATAGAGAAAAACTTCACTCAATGGATTGATGACAACTTCGTACAAGCACGCATTTTATATCAAAGCCTAACACACAAGCATAGGAAAGCACAAAGCAGTTGTTTAACTAGAGTTCAGGACTTCGCCATATGTGCCAAGAAAAACGGTTGTCGAACTGCTCTTGATTTTGGCTGCATTTGCCTCTGTAGAAAAACTGTCTTCGAATTTCATATCAGCCAAATGCCCCTGCTGACTCAGCCCACGAACGCTCATGAATTCCCGTTGGTAATTATGAACAATCATGTGGGATTACCGTTTTCACGAAGCCTTACAGTTGAAAAACGGATTTCACCGTTTTGTCACTGTGTCGAAATTGTTGCGTTACGCGCGCGACGTTTTCGGCGAAGTTACCTGTACGCCGAGTCAACGCGGGATTCGGTTTTTCAACCGTAATCCCGAGCTCCCCCTTGACTGCAATCATGCACGACCGATATTTCGGTCGTGCTGTACAGTGCACTGACGTGCGCTGTCCTGCGCGTGGGCAGGGCGATCATTCGCCCTGTCCTGTTGCGATCGTGGGCCCTGCCACGCTCGCAACAGTGCGAGGCCACACGCGCGGGCCTGAGGGCCCACACGCACGATCAGGACCCCACGCGCGGGTCCTGATTTACCCGCGCAGTTGACCTTAACTGACGCGAAAATTATCTCAGTCAACTTCGTGAACACTCACGACACTTCATGAATACACACGAGAAACAGAAAAACACAAACGAACATGAACGCACATAAATATTCATGAACAACGCACGAACCTCACGGAAATTCACGAACACAGAAAATCACGCATACTTACGACAACTCGCGGAACAACGCAAACGCACAGCATTCACACACGGATTATCACGAACACTCAGGAATGCAACCTCTCACGAAAACGCATATAACTCATGAACCGTTGGGGCGATTCATGAGCAGTAAACATTCAAACGTAAAGCACGAAAATGCGCAACTCACACATAAGGAATTACCTTCAAACAAAACACCTCACTTTCACTCAATGTCGGCGAATAGGTGGTAGGTTGTCGTGCAAACCATGTATTGCACCCAACACTCGTGCCACGTGTCCGTCTCATCCAGTCGTTTGGCGTATTGCACACCGACATCGTCTAGATCACTGTGAGGCAACCAGCCTGGCTCCGATCCCCCCTGCCACGGATTCAGAACACGCTTGAGTTTCTTTTGGCTCAAGGCGTTCGCCGCAGCAGACTGGGCTTTGTGCTCGTGCACGGATGGGGCTTACTCTACTGGGAGGCTCGTTCAACGATCCTGGACATTTTGGTGGAGAAAGCGGGGGTTCCTGTGGACAAGCAAGGTGTGATTATAGAGAGATACCCGTCCATCTTGACTCGGAGAAAAGAGACAGTGAATACTCAGCTTGAGATGCTATCAGCCTACCTGAAGGCGGGATGCGGAGGGAAGGTAGAGGCAGGTAGCACCAGCACAGGCCACTTGAAGCAGCGACTAGATGAGCCGCATCTGGACAGGAACCACCTATCTAGGCTTATTTTGAGGTTTCCAACTATCCTCAGTTCTTCGTCCCACCGCATTGCAGAGAATATCGCCATCCTCCAGTCCTTCACTCCCCCAGGCACCCCCTCTGTTGCGAGCTCTGTGCTCCGTCTTGCTCTGGACAGGAAACTTTTATATCTAAGCTCCGGTTTTTTGTGGGGCTGGTGGGGGAGAAAACAGCAGGGAGAGTGGCGAGGAGCTTCCCGCAGGTTCTGCATCTATCAAAGGAGAACGTGCAAGGCAAGGTGGCGGTATTGGCTGACTTAATTGGCCGAGAGAATGCTGTGCGGGTGGTGGCACGATTTCCTTTGCTACTTCTAGTGAAGATAACATGAAGAACACTTTCAGAGAGCTTGTGAGAGAAGTGGAAGAGGCTTTGGAGAGCAGTGAGAGAAGTGGGATGCTGAGGTTGGGAGGAGGTGATTGGTTGGATGAGAAGAATGAGGCTGGAGCACAAGGCGACAAGAGATGCAGGGCTCGTCAGTTGGTGGTGGATTTGGTGGTGAAGTGCCCGCAGTCTATCTACTTCAGTTGGGAAGCGAACATGAAGCATAAGGTGGAGTATTTAAAGCGTGACATGGGGCTGTCCTTTACAGAGTTGCTTGCTTTTCCGGACTTACTTATCTACGGTTTATATCGGCGAATCAGACCGCGGCATGTGGCACTTGTGCGAATGGGGTATGTGGTTGTGGCACGTGAGGCGGTTAGACGAAGGAGTGTTGTTGAAGACAGGAGGGATGTTCTGATAGCAGCTGGGCAACGGAGGAGCGAGCTGGGTTCTGACAAAGTGGAGGGGGTTGAATGGGGATCGGAAGAAAGAAAGATTGAAAGAGCTGGCGACAGGAAAGAGCAGCAGGGCGACGGGGAGCGATGTGGTAGTGGACCGATGCTTGAGGAATTCATAGGACATGACGAGCCATTGGGGGGAGCTGTTACAGAGCAACAGCTTGTGAACTTGGAGGTAGCAAGGAAAGCGGTGTGCTTGCATCAGTTTCTTAAATGTACAGACAAGCAGTTTGAGAAGAAGTTTGGGGTCACGCTGTAGGGCTGCTGCTGATAGGCTTCTTCGGGTTCACATTAGCCCAATCCTATGCCTGATGTCTGATGTCCCAGTGGTTCACATTGCGCCAATGCCTGATGTCTGTGTGTGCCTCTCCAAATTAGCCCCTCTCTTCAGATATCGCCATTGCATCAACCACTGTGGGGGGCATGGGGACGGAGTGTTAGCAGATGGAAATGATAGCTGATGGAAGGTGATTGCGACAGGGGCAGCAGGGGGACCTATTCTATGGGCTCTTTTTTTTTTCTGGTTTTGAATTATCTACTGGTGCTGGAGGGGAGGGGGGAGGGGGATTACCAGAACTAGCAGGAGCGGCACGAATAGGAGGAGGAGATAGTTTGAGTGCCACATCCTTGTTGCTGCTAGATGGGACCGGAGGGGGTGTGGCTGCTACAACTGCCTCTTCTACAGCCGCCGCAACCCTCCCTCTACTGGACTGGACCTGCTACGGCTGCCAGTGCAAGCCGAGGAATTTCCGGGCTGCCCGATGAAAAGAGCGGGTGGGTAGTTAAGTCGAGAGGAGAGACGCGGTGAGAGAGGAGGGATGGTTTGAGGGGACCGGAGGAGGAGGGAGGGGGAGGAGGAGGGGGGGGGGGGGGGGGGGGGGGGGGGGGAGGGGGGAGAGGGCGAGAGGAGGTGTTGGCTTTGAGAAGGAGGTGGAGGAGCGAGAGCAGGGGTCGGTTGTTAGACACTCCTTGAGTGAGCCCCCTTCCATCGTCTTGGTTCAGCCTTCGGTCTAGCACCATCTGTAGCCAACCGCTCTGGGGGTGGAAGAAGGAGAGGGGAAGAGGGGAGGGGAGGACGACAGCAGGGAGAGCAGCGGGTGGGTGTCAGGGCCTCCTTGAGTGAGCCCCCTTCCATCGTCCTGGTTCAGCCTTCGGTCTAGCACCATCTGTAGCCAACCGCTCTGAGGGCGAGGAAGGAGGCGAGGGGACGAGGGGAGGGGAGGAGCGGAGGCGGGAGAGCAGGGAGAGCAGGGAGAGCAGCGGGTAATTGTCAGAGACTCCCTGTGTGAGCCCCCTCCCATCGTCCTGGTTCAGCCGCCGATCCAACACCATGTCTATTAGGGTTGGGAAGTAGAAGAGAGAGGAGGAGAGAAGGATAGGGGGGAAGGAGGGGGAGGAGGGCACGGTTAAGAGAGGCTGTTAAGCACATAGCGAGACCAGTTTTTTTAGGATTCTTTAGGGGGCAGATGGTGAGGAGAAGAGAAGCTGTTATGCACATAGCGAGGCCAAGAAATGAATCACGTTAAGAAGGCGGGCAAGAGAGGTCTCACCTTGAGACTGGCACATTCCATGGCTTGGCGAGTGTGAGCAGAGAAGCCCAGGCCCGAGGGGTGTTGCAGGAAGGCCAGGCGGGCATGGGGTAGAATTGGGCGTGGGTTGGCAGGCAGAGGGGTGTGACCGCGTGAGGAGAGGGGGGAGCCGTGGGGTGAAAGCAAGTGTAGGGAAGAAGAGCTTACTTGGAGACTGGCAGCGCAGGCCCGAGGGGTGTTGCAGGAAGGCCAGGCGGGCATGGGGTAGAAGTTGCCTTGCAGGGGAATGCGGGCGAGTCTTTCCCTCCTCACCATCTGAAAACCGATCAGGTCCGTGTGAAAGATGTTGCAGACCTGAAGGGAAAGGCATGGGGTATATGAGACAGGCATGGAGCATGGGGCATGGGGCATGGGGCATGAGAAGGAGAGGGCGGGAATGGGGTATATTTGACAGGCATGGGGCATGGGACATGAGAAGGAGAGGGCGGGCATGGGGTAGAAGTGGCCTTGCATTGGAATCCGGGCGAGTGTTTCCCTCCTCACCATCTGAAAACGGTTGAGGTCCGTGTGAAAGATGTTGCAGACCTGAAGGGAAAGGCATGGGGTACATGAGACAGGCATGGGGCATGGGGCATGGGGCATGAGAAGGAGAGGGCGGGAATGGGTATATTTGACAAGCATGGGGCATGGGACATGGGGCATGGGGCATGAGAAGGAGAGGGCGGGCATGGGGTAGAAGTTGCCTTGCAGGGGAATGCGGGCGAGTGTTTCCCTCCTCACCATCTGAAAACCGTTCAGGTCTGTGTGAAAGTTGCATGCAGACCTGAAAATGTTTGCAGACCTGGGGTGGTGGTGGTGAGGGGGTGCGGAAATTATGAGAGTGAGGAGGTGGGTGGATGAGAGGGCGAGGGCGGGCATGGGGTAGAAGTTGCTTTGCAGGGAGATGCGGGAGAGGGTTTCCCTTGGCCAAGGGAGATGCGGGAGAGGGTTTGGTAGCCGTTTAGGTTTGTGTGGACGATTCTTCTAGACCTGCAGGGGTGGTGGGGGGAAGTGGGGGGGTTGCAGATGAGAGAAGGGGAGGGACGGCTTTGCAGGTGAGAGTTGACTGGTTTTGGGGCTTGAGAACACAGGAGGGCATTTGAGGACGGCAGCAGGCATGACGGCAGGCATGACGGCAGGCATGGGGGCAGGCATGGGGCAGGCGTGGGGGCAGGCATACTGGCAGGCATGGGGGCAGGCATGCTGGACGTGCTACAGCCGTTCCTGTGGGTGGCGGTGTCACCGGCTGTAGCAGAGGAGTTACTGTTCAGAGGGCTGCTGCTCACGACCCTACAAGAGAGGCTCGGCAGGTGAGAGGTTGGCAGGAGGCTCGGTAATGAGGTTGGCAAGGGCTTACTGCTACCACCTTGTTTCTGGTTTGAGAACTTCCTCCATTTTCATGGCCCACACTCTCTAATCAATCCGATGTCACTTGTTCTTTCTTATCCCCACACGCTTGATATCGTCTTTCTTGTATTCCCCTCCTTTCCTCCCTGCATTATCCCCTTTCCTGCCTCTCTCCCCTTCCCTGCCTCTCTCCCCTTCTCTCCCTGTTTCCCCCCAGGATCGACGCTGCCATGCTGTCTGCAGCCCTCTTCGCCCTCTTCCACCTCTCCCTCGCCCGCCTCTTCCCCAACATGGCCCTTGGGATTGCCGCCGGTCTGCTCGCTGTCTACTCCAATAGCGTCTTGCCAGCTGTCGCTCTGCATACCACTTACAATGCTTCTGCTCTAATCTACGCACTCATGGCTGCGACGATTGCTTCTGTCTAGCAGGCAAAGAGCTGGTTAGTACAAAGACCTGGTTCCTTCACAGGTGTGGAACATCCTGGAAACAGGAAAAGATTCTGGCTGGACAATGCCCAACTGCCGCACCAGCGGGACCAATCTGGTTCGTGCCTCCAAGTTGGTATGGACCATGGTGTCTGGATGTTCCATGTCACTTCTCCAAGATAGCGACGTTGACTGGGTAAATGGAACAGTGTGAACACGCGTTTGATGAGCCCACAAATATCCTGATGGGTGCACAATCCACACCATGTGTATCCAAGATGAGTGGGATGAAAGAACTCACATACCATACACATAAAGGCGATGAGATACAAGATTACAACTTACCTTATACCGAAACGCTGCTTTTCCCGAGGCAGCGGCAGCAGCGGCAGGGAGCTTGGAGTTCCATTTCGTAGCATCAGCTTTGAATCTTTCGCTGGGCAGCAACCACAGTTACAGTTTCTGGCGAAAACAGCTTCGGAGCGGAGCTCCTTTCGTTCGGTCAAATCTCAAGCTTAGGCGAGAAGCTCTCGCCAATCCCCAGAGCATTCGCTAAGCACCTGCTCAACCACTCCGTATACCTGTTCAAACGTTTTTAAACGCACAGCACCTGATCAAGCCGCACCGCTTGGCCCTTTGATCGTCACACTCGTCTCGTCGGTAGCCCCAAGGAACCCAGGTTTCCAAAATTGGACGAGGGAATCGCCCGTCATGGAGCAGCTAGATAGGTGCTGGATAGTTGAAGCTAGCTAGATGCGGGATAGATGAAGCTAGATAGCTATTCTAGCTAAATAAGAGCTCGAGGCATCAATCATCATTGAAATAATGTTCATTCTCTAATCCGTGCACGCGAAGCTGACTTCACGTTTCGCGTCGCCAGCCAGCCAAGGTCAGCGAGGGTTCAGGCATACACGAGTTGGACGGATTAGACGAATTCGACGGATGCAACGAGATCATCAACGAAATCATGAACTTCTACGCCGCCTCGCGTAGATCAGCTCGCCGATCGCTATGGCTAGTCCTACCGCATACGTCACAGCCATTCGTAGATCGGATTCTCAGATATATTGCTCGTGAGACATCGCAAACGCACCGAATAGCATCGTGATCTTCGGTTCCTTCCTTAACAAGCTTCGATTGGATTGGATCGGATCGAAACGAACCTGCGCGAAACGCGTTTTGTCAACTCCGAAACCCAGACCGAAGCTTCGATGCTACTCAAGAGACATCTTCATCCCACGTCCGAAGCTTCGCGACATGGGCTGCCGTTGGTACGTCTTCCAGACCAGCAGGCGCAGAAGCTTCCGAGGCGGAGGCTGCTATTTCTGGGTCGAAATCACTTTCCAGAATCAACCCTTTAGTAGAGGTGCAAGCGGAGCTTAAAACGCGTACAGTGAAGGGCGAGGAGAGGGGGAGTGGGAAAGGGAGCCAGGGGAGCATCAGGAGGGTAGGGGAAGAGGAGGGGGGAGAAACGGGAGGTGGAGATGTGAGCGGTAAAAGGAGAGCAGGTAATGTGGGGGGAAAGAGTGAGGGAGGCGGGAGGAAGAGCTACAGGACAAAAGGCTGCAAAGAGGAGGAGGAAGAGGCAGTGGCAGTGATTGCTGGAGTGCTGAGGAAGAAATTCGGGCCCCAGATTGTGAAAGAGGAGTTGGAGGAGTGGGGGAGTGGGATGGGAAGCAGCAAGGATGAAGGGGGTGTGGGGAGGAGGGAGGAGGAGGAGGAGGAGGAGGAAGGGGACGATGAGGAGGAGGAGGAGGAAGCAGAAGCAGAAGCGAGTGAGGAGGACGCACCACCCACCACATCTCCTCCCACGCCCCCTCCTCCAGCCCCCGGGTCGTATCTCCCTCCTCCCTCCTCTCCCTCTACCGCTTCTTCTCCTCCCACCTCGGCATCTCCTATCCTTCCACTGTCGCTTCCCTCCTCGCTTCCCACCCCCAACTGCTCCGCTCCAATCCCACCAATGACTTCCTGCCACGTGTCCGCCTCCTCCAGTCATATGGCATATCTCATGCTGATATCCTCCACATCACTGAGAGAGGTCCACGCTGGCTCCGATCCCCCCTGCCACGAATTCAAAACACGCTTGAGTTCCTTTTGGCTCAAGGCGTCCGCCGAAGCAGATTGGGCTTGGTGTTCCGACGTGTCAGCAACTTACTTCGCTTTGAGGTACGTTCCACGAACCTGGACATTCTTGTGGAAAAGGCAGGGGTTCCAGTGGACAAACTGGGTGGGATTATAGAGAGAGCTCCATCCATCTTGATTCGGAGCAAAAACGCGGTATATACACAGCTTGAGACGTTATCAGCTTACCTGAAGGCGGAATGCGGAGGGAAGGGAGAAGCAGATAGCACCAGCACAAGCCCTTGTAAGCAGCGACCAGATGAACTGCCCTTGGACACAAGCTACCTAAGCAGGCTTATCTTGACGTTTCCAGGCTTCCTCTCCCGTTCTCCTTATCACATTGCAGAGAAACTTGCCATCCTCCAGTCCTTCACTCCCACAGGCACCCCCTCCGTTGCAACCTCTGTGCTTCGTCGTGCCCCCACCATCCTCGGCCTTAGCTCAGAAACTCTCTTAGCTAAGCTCCAGTTTTTTGTGGAGCTGGTGGGGGAGAAAGCAGCAGGGAGGGTGGCGAGGAGCTACCCGGCGGTTCTGCAACTTTCGAAGGAGAACCTGCAAGGCAAGGTGGCGGAATTGGCTGATTTGATTGGCCAAGAGAATGCCGTGCGGGCGGTCGCACAGTTTCCTTTGCTACTAACGTCTAGTGAAACTGTCGTGAAGAAAAGCTTTAAAGAGCTTGTGCGAGAAGTGGAGGAGGCATTTGAGGGCAGTGGAGAAGCGGGAAACGGGATGCAAAGGTTGGGGGAAGATGAGAGAGGAAAGCGCTTGGTAGGGGAAAATGACTATCCAGCACTAAGTGCCAAGAGGTGCAGGGCTCGTCGGTTGGTGGTGGATTTGGTTATGACGTACCCGCCGTCCATTTATTACAGTTGGAAAACGAACCTGAAACCCAAGCTGGACTACTTAAAACGGGACATGGGGCTCTCTATAAAGGAGGTCCTTGCCTACCCTAAGTTTCTTGGGTACAGTTTGGATCGGCGAATCAGACCACGGCATGTGGCACTGGTGCAAATTGGATATGCGGTTGTGGCACATGAGATGGTTATTCGGCCGAGGGGTGTTTCGATTGGAGCTGAGGAGCAGAGGGGCAAGCTGGGTTCTGTTTGCTCCTCACTTTCTGACAAAGTGGAGGGAGTGGAGTGGATTGAATGGGGAGTGGAAAAAAGAAAGATCTAAAGGACGGGTGACAAGCAAGAGCAGCAGCGCGATTTGGAGGATGGTGGTAGCGAACTTCTACTCGAGGAGTTCCTAGGGAATGACGAACCAAGGGGAGAAGCTGTTACAGTTTTTACTCGACTAAAAAAAGCAGCAGGGCCAAGGGGAACATGGTGGTAGTGGACTGCTGCTTGAGGAACACGTGGGGCAATGACGAGTCAGGGGAAAGAGCTGTTGCTGTTACAGAGCAGCAGCTTGTGGAATTGGAGGCGACAAAGAAGCTGGTGTGTTTGCAGCAGTTTCTCCAATTCACAGACAAGCAGTTTGAGGAGAAGTTTGGGGTCAAACTGTAGGGCTGGTAATAGGCTTCTGTGGTTTCCAATGAATAATGTTTTTCAACTCCAGCTTAGATAGTACGGTACATTCCGTGCTGCAACAGCATCGCTGCGCCCCGACTCATTGACAGGCCTGACATAGCTAGGCCATGTAGAGTATACCTGTGTTTCTGCTGTTAAAGACTGCCGCACCAAGAGTGTTTACAGTTCATCGGATCAATCATATCCATGAAGTGCATACAGCAGACATGGTAATTTGCGTACTGTATAGTGCATACATCAGTTGTGCAGGAATTAGTGTTGGCCTTAGGTCTTTAGCTGACTAGGCATCGGTCAGAAACACATCTCCCTCATCCCCCACCCTATAGTTCTAAGAAAGATCTTTGATTCACTTCCACAGGAAGCCAATGTCGATCTTGGGTCTGGGCTGCCCGGGCAGTGGTCAGTCACGCCACCCACCCCCCCTTCCCCCCTTTCCCTTTCCCTTTCACTACTGTGCCTGCTTTACGACAAATCCTTAAGGCATTCGCACAGGAAGCCAATGTCAATCTTGGGTCTGGGCTGGCCGGGAGCAGTGGAGCCCTGAGAGGCCATCTCGATGAACATGAGGAGCTTCTTGATGGTCATCTGATGAACGGGGATGGAGGGTGGGGGGGGGGGGATTTAGGGTGATGTTAAGGACAGCTCTATGGATGGGGAGCAGTGGAGCCCTGAGAAGCCATCTCGATGAACATGAGGAGCTTCTTGATGGTCATCTGATGAACGGGGATGGAGGGTGGGGGGGGGGGGATTTAGGGTGATGTTAAGGACAGCTCTATGGATGGGGAGCAGTGGAGCCCTGAGAAGCCATCTCGATGAACATGAGGAGCTTCTTGATGGTCATCTGATGAACGGGGATGGAGGGTGGGGGGGGGGGGGATTTAGGGTGATGTTAAGGACAGCTCTATGGATGGGGAGCAGTGGAGCCCTGAGAAGCCATCTCGATGAACATGAGGAGCTTCTTGATGGTCATCTGATGAACGGGGATGGAGGGTGGGGGGGGGGGGATTTAGGGTGATGTTAAGGACAGCTCTATGGATGGGGAGCAGTGGAGCCCTGAGAAGCCATCTCGATGAACATGAGGAGCTTCTTGATGGTCATCTGATGAACGGGGATGGAGGGTGGGGGGGGGGGGATTTAGGGTGATGTTAAGGACAGCTCTATGGATGGGGAGCAGTGGAGCCCTGAGAAGCCATCTCGATGAACATGAGGAGCTTCTTGATGGTCATCTGACAAAAGGGAGAAGGGGGGAGGGCGGACGGGGGCTCGGTGGAAAATGTAGGGAGGGACAGAAACAGTTGGTTGGACCATATTCGGGTTATGCGTCAGCAGGGGAGAAATCACTTTTGAGAATAATCAGACGTGATTTAAACAGCTGGTTGGACCATGTTCGGATAATGTGTCAGCAGGGGAGAAAAAAACTGGAGTATGTTGGAAAAATGTCTCAGCAGGGTCTGAGATTGCAACTTGTACGTGACAAAACAAATTAGCCTCCTGACCTTGAGGTGAGGATTGCAGAGCATCCACAACAATGTGCAGTGCGATGTAATGCGGTGCAGTGCAATGCGACACATGGCATTTCGGTGCGGTGTGGTGCAGTGCCGTGCAGTGCCGTGCAGAGCTCACCTCTTCCACTGTGGAGGGAAGGGCATCCACAGCAGTATCAATGTCGTCTGCTTCAAACAAGTCCAGCTCCCTCAGTGGCCTACAGTGCAGTGAGTGTGGTGCGGTGCAGTGCGGTACATTGTGGTGCAAAGCTCACCTCTTCCACTGTGGAGGGAAGGGCATCCACAGCAGTATCAATGTCGTCTGCTTCAAACAAGTCCAGCTCCCTCAGTGGCCTACAGTGCAGTGAGTGTGGTGCGGTGCAGTGCGGTACATTGTGGTGCAAAGCTCACCTCTTCCACTGTGGAGGGAAGGGCATCCACAGCAGTATCAATGTCGTCTGCTTCAAACACGTCCAGCTCCCTCAGTGGCCTACAGTGCAGTGAGTGTGGTGCGGTGCAGTGCGGTACATTGTGGTGCAAAGCTCACCTCTTCCACTGTGGAGGGAAGGGCATCCACAGCAGTATCAATGTCGTCTGCTTCAAACACGTCCAGCTCCCTCAGTGGCCTACAGTGCAGTGAGTGTGGTGCGGTGCAGTGCGGTACATTGTGGTGCAAAGCTCACCCTCTTCCACTGTGGAGGGAAGGGCATCCACAGCAGTATCAATGTCGTCTGCTTCAAAACACGTCCAGCTCCCTCAGTGGCCTACAGTGCAGTGAGTGTGGTGCGGTGCAGTGCGGTACATTGTGGTGCAAAGCTCACCTCTTCCACTGTGGAGTGAAGGGCATCCACAGCAGTATCAATGTCGTCTGCTTCAAACACGTCCAGCTCCCTCAGTGGCCTACAGTGCAGTGAGTGTGGTGCGGTGCAGTGCGGTACATTGTGGTGCAAAGCTCACCTCTTCCACTGTGGAGTGAAGGGCATCCACAGCAGTGTCAATGTCGTCTGCTTCGAACACCTCCAGTTCCCTCAGCGCCTGTGCAAGGAAGGGGGCAATTGGCAAGGGAGGGGAGAGAGGGAGTGCAAGAGAGGAACCATTGATCATGTGGGCGTTTCATAGCAGTGTCAATATCGTCTGCTTCAAACACCTCCAGTTCCCTCAGTGCCTGGGCAGAGTGACATAACAAGGAGGAAGGCAATTAGAAAAAATGAAGAATGTAGAGAAGAAACATGAGGAATTCTCGCGTAAGGGCTAAGCAAGAAATCAGAGCGTCGATGGTTGTGTCAGAAACATCTGCTTCAAGCACTGGAGGTTCCAAATAAAGGCAACTCACCGCCTTGGTTTCGATGCGTGAGAGCGTGGGCACGGTGAGAACAGTGTTGAAAGAGGAGGAGAGGTGCATGGCCTGCTGAAGATCCTCTGGGAGGCTCGTGGTTGCAATCACGTACAGCTTGTGACCCTGCGGGGGGATTAAGAGGTAGGCGAGGGGAAGCGGGGATGTGGGGAGGAGAAGGCGCGAGAAGGGGGGAAGGAGGGGGTGAGGGAGCGAGGCGGGGGGTGGGGGAAGGAGGAGGAGAGGTGCATGGTCTCCTGAAGAGCCTTGGGTAGACTGGTGGTTGCAACCACGTACAGCTTGTGAACTGTATGACACAAAGGGGTGGAGAGGCGGGTTTGACCACTGGAAGTACCTTCTTCTTACCTCAGGGGGGAGCATTTTGACGAGCACGAGCAGCGAGTGCAGCACGAGGTTGGAGAAGCGCGGGAGGGTTGGACGGGTGGAGTTGGTGGTAAGTGGTAGTGGAGGTAGGAGAGGGCAGGGGGAGTGGGAAAGTGGGAGGCGGGGAAGAGTGGACGAGAGTTTGACCATTCTTACCTCAGGTGGGAGCCTCTTGACGAGCACGAGCAGTGACTGCAGCACGAGGTTGGAGAAGCGCGGGCCGATGCTGACATACTCAAAGAGGCGCTCTATGTCGTCCAAGATGACGATGCTGAAGGCTGATTTATACGCATCGTCAAACACCTGTGGGTGTGGGAAAAGGAGGAGTAGGAAGCAATGCAAATGGGATTTTGGGGTGCCTCACAAGCCGATGCTGACATACTCAAAGGGTCGCTCTATGTCGTCGAGAATGACGATGCTGAAGGCGGATTTATACGCGTCGTCAAACACCTGAGAATGGGAGGGAAGGGGATAGGAAGTAACGTATGTGAGCTCTTGAGGTGCCTCACAGACCGATGCTGTCATACTCAAAGAGGCGCTCTATGTCGTCCAGAATGACGATGCTGAAGGCTGACTTGTACGCAGCGTCAAAGACCTGTTGGATGAGATGGGGGGGGAAGGAGGATTGGCCCTATCTAACACGCAAACCACCACCTTTCCTGTGGGTATTTGTTTTGAGAACACGTATGAAAAAACAAAACAGTTTGTTACTAGACAATGTAATGCGCAGTACTAGACAATATGCTCAATAAAAATTCACCCACCTTGGCTATGGCTGAGCATTTGGACGGCTCTGACATGCCCACCATCGTTTTCTGCTGAGATCTGGTCCGTAGATTTGGGGGAGAGATACATTTAGGAAACAAAGGGAGGAATTTGGGTGAGTATAACAGGATATTACATGCATTAAGGTAAGACGAAGGTGACCAGGTAACAAGGTGACAATGGGACGAGGTGACAAGGATGAGGTTTAGAAGTTCAAGGGGAAATATGCGAAGCCACGTACCATCTTAACAAAGGGGAAACCGCTTTCCATGGCAATTGTAGCACCAAGAGCCGTCTTTCCACTGCAGGGAGTGCAGAACGGGTGGAATGGAGACACGAATGAGTATGGGACCATGCAGGGCAGGGCATGACCGAACCCAGACGGTGATCCCCCTGTTTGATGAGTCGACTTTTGAGTCGACTCAAAACTCGACTTGACTTTTGAGTCGACTCAAAAACTCGACTTGACTTTTTGAGTCGACTCAAAACTCGACTTGACTTTTGAGTCGACTCAAAACTCGACTTGACTTTTGAGTCGACTCAAAACTCGACTTGACTTTTGAGTAGACTCAAAACTCGACTTGACTTTTGAGTAGACTCAAAACTCGACTTGACTTTTGAGTAGACTCAAAACTCGACTTGACTTTTGAGTAGACTCAAAACTCGACTTGACTATTGAGTCGACTCAAAACTCGACTTGACTTTTGAGTCGACTCAAAACTCGACTTGACTTTTGAGTCGACTCAAAAACTCGACCTGACTTTTGAGTAGACTCAAAACTCGACTGGACTTTTGAGTAGACTCAAAACTCGACTTGACTTTTGAGTCGACTCAAAACTCGACTTGACTTTTGAGTCGACTCAAAACTCGACTTGACTTTTGAGTCGACTCAAAACTCGACTTGACTTTTGAGTCGACTCAAAACTCGACTTGACTTTTGAGTTGACTCAAAACTCGACTTGACTTTTTGAGTAGACTCAAACTCGACTTGACTTTTGAGTCGACTCAAAACTCGACTTGACTTTTTGAGTAGACTCAAAACTCGACTTGACTTTTGAGTCGACCTCAAAATTCGACTTGACTTTTGAGTCGACTCAAAACTCGACTTGACTTTTGAGTAGACTCAAAACTCGACTTGACTTTTGAGTAGACCTCAAAACTCGACTTGACTTTTGAGTAGACTCCAAAACCTCGACTTGACTTTTGAGTAGACTCAAAAACTCGACTTGACTATTGAGTCGACTCCAAAACTCGACTTGACTTTTGAGTCGACTCAAAAACTCGACTTGACTTTTGAGTCGACTCAAAACTCGACCTGACTTTTGAGTAGACTCAAAACTCGACTGGACTTTTGAGTAGACTCAAAACTCGACTTGACTTTTGAGTCGACTCAAAACTCGACTTGACTTTTGAGTCGACTCAAAACTCGACTTGACTTTTGAGTCGACTCAAAAACTCGACTTGACTTTTGAGTCGACTCAAAACTCGACTTGACTTTTGAGTTGACTCAAAACTCGACTTGACTTTTTGAGTAGACTCAAAACTCGACTTGACTTTTGAGTCGACTCAAAATTCGACTTGACTTTTGAGTCGACTCAAAACTCGACTTGACTTTTGAGTCGACTCAAAACTCGACTTGACTTTTGAGTCGACTCAAGACTCGACTTGAAACACGAATGAGTATGGGACCATGCAGTGCAGGGCATGACCGAACCCAATTTGTGATCCCCCTTTCCTCCCACAGCGGCTCACCTCCCAACCCAACGCACAAAGAATTTACACCACTCAACTAGGATATAAATAATTACAAGGACAAATGTGAGTTTCTAGTCTAGTCTAGCTCTAACAGTGTGATCAGGCGTATTTGCAATCCCATTCTCCCCTGTCTCCCAATCCCCCCACACTCACCTCCCTGGCGACCCCTCCAGCAGGCACGTCAGCAGGGGCGTTCTCTCGCTGCTCCGCACTTGCAGCACACCTGGCGCTTGGCGGTGGAGAGAATGTGGTGGTGGGCTGTTAGGGACTGCAGCATGCCGTTCAGACTGCAAGGGAGAGAGGGAAAGGGAGAAAAGAGGGGATTATGTGCTGCGTGCGCTGCCCTTGCTTTCATTTGCAGCAACCTGGTGCTTGGCAGTGGAGAGAATGTGGTGGTGCGCTGTCAGGGACTGGAGGACGCCGTTCAGACTGCAAGGGAGGGAGGGAAAGGGAGAAAGAGGGGATTATGTGCTGGGTGCGCTGCCCTTGCTTTCACTTGCAGCACCTGGCGCTTGGCAGTTGAGAGAATGTGGTGGTGCACCGTCAACGACTGCAGCATGCCGTTCAGACTGCAAGGGAGGGAAGGGGAAAGGGCGAGGGATGATGAAGGGATAAGGAGATGGGGGATGCGCTGAGGGGATGGATGTCGGACGGTTTGTTCAATCGCTCGCTCTGTGCTTCCGCACTTGCAGCACCTGGCGCTTGGCGGTGGAGAGAATGTGGTGGCGGGCTGTCAGGGACTGCAGCATGCCGTTCAGACTGCAAGGGTGGTGGGGGTAGAGGGAGAGAGAGAGATGGACAGGGAAGGAAGGGTAGAGGGGTTTTGGCGGCTCGATCGCTCGTTGCTCCCCCCCTTGGCTCCGCACTTGCAGCAACTGGCACTAGGCAGTTTGAGAGAATGTGGTGGTAGCAACTGAGGGGAAAACTCACTCACCGGTACATGTTGAAGCTGCTCTGTGTTGGCACCGTACGCCGGTCGCACCTCCTTATAGCACAAGTGGCAAGTGAAGGGGCAACCCACCCACTCACCGGTACATGTTGAGCTGCTCTGTGTTGGCACCGTACGCCGGCCCGCACCTCCTTGAGCGCCTCTTCAAAAGCCACCATGGTCACCCTGATGTTGTCCTCGTCTATCGCCTTTGTCAGGTCTGACAGGTGCGAGGCGGCGCTAGTGCTTCAAGTGCAAATGACTCACCGGTACATGTTGAGCTGCTCTGTGTTGGCACCATAACGCGGGCCGCACCTCAGTGAGCGCCTTTTCCGAAATCCAACCATGGCCACCCTGATGTTGCCCCTCGTCTATCGCTTTGGTCAGGTCTGACAGGTGGCGAGCGGCGCTAGTGCTTCAATTCAAGTGCAATTGACTCACCGGTACATGTTGAGCTGCTCTGTGTTGGCACCGTAACGCCGGCCGCACCTCAGTGAGCGCCTTTTCGAAATCCACCATGGTCACGTCGGATGTTGTCCTCGTCTATCGCCTTGGTGAGGTCCGAGGGGTCCGTTTGCCGTGACAGGGCCGAAGGAGACTGCACTCTTGACCAGGCCTTCTAGCTCTGCTCCACTGAAGTTCTTGGTGCGTGCAGCTGAATGGAAGGAGGGGGAGAGGGGGAGGGGGGGAACGGGAGGGATGTTGTCCTCGTCTATCGCCTTGGTCAGGTCTGACGGGTCCGTCTGTCTTGACAGGGCGAAGGACACAGCGCTCTTCACTAGACCTTCTAGCTCTGCTCCGCTGAAATTCTTGGTGGCGGGCAGCTGGGATGGGGGAAGAGGCCGGCACAGGGGGGGGATTGGTGGGAGAACATAGGTCACCCGGATGTTGTCCTCGTCTATCGCCTTGGTCAGGTCCGACGGGTCCGTCTGCCGTGACAGGGCGAAGGAGACTGCACTCTTCACCAGTCCTTCTAGCTCTGCCCCGCTGAAGTTCTTGGTGCGGGCGGCTGGGAGGGGGAAGAGGCCGGCACAGGGGGGGGACTGGTGGGAGAACATAGGTCACCCGGATGTTGTCCTCGTCTATGGGCCTTGGTCAGGTCTGAGGGGTCTGTCTGTCTTGACAGCGCGAAGGACACAGCTGCTCTTGACGAGACCCTTCTAGCTCTGCTCCGCTGAAATTCTTGGGGATGGGCAGCTGGTGAGAGGAGGTTGGGAGAGGGGGACGGAGAAGGCAATGGAGGGATGTTGTCCTCGTCTATAGCCTTGGTCAGGTCTGAGGGGTCCGTCTGTCTTGACAGGGGCGAAGGAGACAGCGCTCTTCACTAGTCCCTCTAGCTCTGCTCCACTGAAGTTCTTGGTGCGTGCAGCTGGGGAAACGGGGCAGAACAGGTCAAGAGAAAGGAAAGGGAGAAGCTGTTGGAAGAGAGAACCGGGAGAGGGCACTGGGATCGAATGTTGTCCTCGTCTATCGCCTTGGTCAGGTCCGACGGGTCCGTCTGCCTTGACAAAGCGAAGAACACGGCGCTTTTGACTAGACCTTCTAGCTCCGCCCCACTGAAGTTCTTGGTGCGGGCGGCTGGGGGGGAGAGAAACGGGAGGGGGAGGGGGGGGGGAGGAAACGCGTGCGTTCATGTGAGAGAGTCAGAAGAAGATCTGGGCCTTCATGCTCCGCTTCACTGAAGCTCCTGGTACGGCTGGCTGGGGCACGAGTATAGAAAGGAAGTGGGGGGAGAGGGAAACGCATAGTACCTCACGAAGCGGGGCACGAGGCTGGTATGAATTTGGAAGAGGGAGCGAAGGAAGAAGGAACCAGGGTTTTCACCCGTGGTTAGCGGGGCACGAAAGACTGAAACCTTCTGTCTGTGTGCCTTTTAGATTTAAGCTAGATTGAAGCCTACAGACAGAAGTTCAGTTCAGTCTTCACAGGGAAGGGGCAGCACTCACCTACACCCAAGTCGTCGAGACTCTTGGCTCACCCGGGCTGTGAGGTCCACGCCAGCACCCTTGAAAGCGGTTTCGTGCATCTCATTGGAAATGGATGGTTGAGCTGTCTTGGAAGCTCTGAACAAGCCCTGCCTTGCCCAAACCAAGCGAGGCTCGCTGGGCTTACCCAGGCTGTTTGAGGGTCCACGTCAGCAGCACCCACCCATGGAAGGAAAGTTCACAGCATCTTATTGAATGGATGGTTGAGCTGTCTTAGAAGCTCTGAACAAGCCTTGCCTTGCCCGAACATGGAAAGGTCTTGGCTGGCTTACCCAGGCTGTTGAGGTCCACGTCAGCACCCATGAAGGAGTTCTCGCGCATCTTGTTGGAATGGATGGCCAGGATCTTCACTCGCCCCTCCTCGTCTGGTAACCCTATTTCAATCTGCACCTCCAATCGACCAGGTCTGGCGAAATTGGGTGAAAGGGTGTGGAATGGGGGGCAGTGGGAGAGGGAAGAGGACGATGAGCAAGAGAACGATGAGCAAGAGAATGAAAATCAGCAAACCAAATCACCATTCACACTCTAAAGAATAGCTCCGCACAACGTACCACATCATACCGCAACATACCACATCGTACCACACCACACCACATCGGCTCACATCAACCCAAGTCACGTCGCACTGCAACATGCCCCATCACACCACTGTACCGCACAGAACCGCACTGCACCTGAGCAGAGCCTCGTCGAGCATGTCTTTCCGGTTGGTCATGCCGATTAGAAGAATGTTGTTCAGCGACTCGACTCCATCGATCTATGTTTGTATGATGTGGGGAGGTGGGGAACAACAAAGAGAGAGGGAGAAAGCGTGGCATGTCCCTTGGGGACTGCCTTGCCATCCTGGAGCCAGCACTGGAGCTCCCTTAGATGGGGCACGGGAGTGTGTAGGATAGGAGGAGGAGGGGGGGGGGGGGTTAGTTACACGGAGCTCGGATCTAATGCATGTTCTATATCCACGTGCATGTTCTATATCCACGTGCATGTTCTATATCCACGTGCATGTTCTATATCCACGTGCATGTTCTATATCCACGTGCATGTTCTATATCCACGTGCATGTTCTATATCCACGTGCATGTTCTATATCCACGTGCATGTTCTATATCCACGTGCATGTTCTATATCCACGTGCATGTCTGTACTCGCTCGGATCTAATGCACGGACCGCTTGGGAGAAAGAGGAAGGAGGGTTGCGAGACGAAAGAGAAACAGGGGTGGGAAGGGAAGGGAGCGGGGGTGGGTGGAGATAAAGTGAGGGGAGGGGAGTGGGGATGGAGAAGGAATGACATGCTTACTCGGAAGAGAGAGCAAGGCAGCAATAGGAATGATGCTAGCAATGATGTCATACGACATAGACAGTTGAGGAAAACGGGGGGGACGGCAAAGCAGAGACAAATAGGGATCAGGGAAGGGGGGGTAGGAGAGGGTGGAGGGGAGGGGGCAGGAGGAAAACGGGGGGGACGGCACAGCAGAGGCAAATAGGGAGTAGGGAGGAGAGAGTGGAGGGACGGGCAGGAGGGGGGAGGAGGAGGAGGAGAGGGGAGGAGGAAGGGGAGGGGCATATACCTTTGTGAGCAGTTGGTTGACTATGCTGTCGTGCACCCCTGTGCCATCGCAGTATGGAGGGATAGCATGACGGCAGGAGGAGAGGAGGAGGGGGCAGGTGAGGGGAGAAGGAGGAGGGGCGGCAGGGAGACGAGGAGTGGGAGCGGCATGTGCTTACCTTGGTGAGCAGCTGGTTGACTATGCTGTCGTGCACCCCCGTGCCATCACGAACAGACCCTCGACTCTGATGGGAGAGGAGGGGAGGGAGGGAAGAGGAGATATTGGAGGAGAGATGGGAGGAGAGAAGGGAAGAGAGAGGTAGGAGTGAGTGTGACAGAATGCAGACCCGATAGAATGATGATGTGAATATAGCGAGCCTCACATGCCAGAATAAATAGTTTCACTTCTGGATAGCAATACATTTCTCAGAATCAAACAGTCTCACCTTACAGATGGAGTCAATCTCATCAAAGATGATAATGTGCAAGTCACTCTCGTCGCCATGCTCTTTCTGGTCCTTCCTGGCACACCTAAAACAATGTAAATCTTGGAATTTTAACCATTGGTCTCACCTTACAGATGGCATCGATTTCATCAAAGATGATGATGTGCAGGTCACTCTCATCTCCATGCTCCTTCTGGTCCTTCTCAGCATCGGCAAACAGATCTCGGATATCTTCTCTGCTGCTCCCACATACTTGTCCAGATCTCAGGGCCGTTCACCACCTGGAGGGGTGCAAAAAGAGTGGTGCGGAGCGGTGACGAGCGGTTTAAAGTGCTGTAAACGCGTCATGGATATTCTTCTCTGCTGCTCCCACGTACTTGTCCAGGATCTCAGGGCCGTTCACCACCTGGAGGGGTGCAAAAAGAGTGGTGCGGAGCGGTGACGAGCGGTTTAAAGTGCTGTAAACGCGTCATGGATATTCTTCTCTGCTGCTCCCACGTACTTGTCCAGGATCTCAGGGCCGTTCACCACCTGGAGGGGTGCAAAAAGAGTGGTGCGGAGCGGTGACGAGCGGTTTAAAGTGCTGTAAACGCGTCATGGATATTCTTCTCTGCTGCTCCCACGTACTTGTCTAGGATCTCAGGGCCAGTCACCACCTGGAGGGACGATAAGGAGTGGTGCAAAGCTGTGCAGAGCGGTATACAACATTGTAAACAGGTTGCGGTGCGGATGGATGTTCTTCTCTGTTGCCTATACATACCTGTCCCACCCACCATTAGCCACATCAGCCGCACAATCTACATTACCACCCGCCATCCCCCCATACCTCGGACTCCATGCCGTTCAGCAGCTTGCCTATCTGCTGCGCAATCAGTGACTTGCCCGTACTGGGGGGGTGAGAGGTGGAAAGGAAACAGAGACCCACCCGCCACCAGCAGCGCAACCCCCACCAGAAGCCCCACCCACCCACCCAACCACCTGCCCACACTCCAGCCCACCATACCTTGGGCTCCATGCCGTTGAGCAGCTTGCCTATCTGCTGCGCAATCAGCGTCTTGCCCGTGCCGTTGGGGGAGGGAAGGGAAGGACACGCACCAGAAACAACAGCACCCCCACCAGCAGCCACACCAGCCGCACCAAAGACACTCCCACCCTCCCCACCCCCCATACCTTGGGCTCCATGCCGTTGAGAAGCTTGCCTATCTGCCGCGCGATCAGCGTCTTGCCCGTACCAGGTGGACATGCAGTAGCATTCCCTTCACGTGTGTAATGCCCAGGCTGGGGTAGAGGGGGGGAGAGGGGGAGAGAGGGGGAGAGAGGGGGGAGAGAGGGAAGAGAGGGGGAGAGAGGATGGGGCGGGAAGATAGAGCAAGTGTGTAGTGAGCAAGTGTGCTCTGCAGCAGCATGCCCTTTACATGCGCGACGCCCAGGCTGGGGGGAAGATGGGGAGATGGCAAACAAGCATGGGCTGTGAGATGACGTGGCGACACGACACTGACAGCGAGATGATGTGGCGGCATGACACCCACAGTAAAAACCGCTTCCTTTCCTACCCATTGTATCAAGAGATGTTGTGACGTTGTGACAACACCTACCCACTGTATCATAACTGCACTTTCCATCTGATAATGGCAGCACTTACGGGGAAAAGCCGCGCGAGGCGAAGGCTCGGCAGAAAAGGACAGCAAAAGCTGGCGTTCTTTCTCTTTATTTTTACTATATGTATATATATACGTATACATATAAAAAAAACCCACAGTGTAATGCAAATATATATATGACAAAACCCACCGGGAGATGATGTGCGGTGGGAAGACACGGGAGGCGAAGGCTCGGCGGAAAATATCAGCAAACTGAGCATCGAGCCCGCCGATGCCGAGCTTCTCAAAGTTGAAATCCTTCTGCTTGAATAGCGCTGCCGCCTTGCCGCCCCCTGCCCTCATCTGATTCACCACCTGACGAGCACAGGGGAAGGTTAGCAAAGGGGAAGGGGAGGGGTACGGCAAGGCAAGCCACAGGAGAGTCAGTATCGGTGGAGAACTTTTCCCATCTTAGCTCAGAGTATAAGTCATTCTGCTTGGATAGCGCCGCCGCCTTGCCGCCCCCTGCCCCTCTGATTCACCACCTGATGAGCAGGGAGGGGAGGGAGCGGGGAAAGAGAGGAGGGGAGGGGCGGGGAGGGGGAGGGAAGGAGGAGGGGAGGAGGAGGGAAGGGGAGGGTGGGAGAGGCGGAGGGGTGGGGATCAGATGGGACGGGAGGGAACACTAAGAATCGCACCCCCTCGTGCTTCTTTGAAAAGTGTTTTGGCTCTTGCGTCGACCCACACAGCTCACCTTCATCCCTGCGCCAGCAGCAGCCTCAGAGACAATATCCCTAACCCACCTTGATCCCTAAGCATGCAGCAGCAGCAGCAGCAGCAGCAGCAGCTCACGTTGATGCCTGACCGCAGCTGCTTTCATAAACGATCCCTTTCTGCTTCACCAGCAGCCCGCGTGTGGATGCAAACGCCCGCGCGCCCTCTTGCCCCTCAGGAGCTGGGAACTCCATGAGGATGACAGAGAGGGCGAAGTTGGCTGGCTGGTGCTGCGGCTGCAGCAGCTAGAGCTAGGACTAGAGCTGATCGACTCTAAAACCGACCCAGAAAAGAACCCACCTTGATGCCTGAGCCAGCAGCAGCCTCATAGATAATTCCCGTCTGCTTCACCAGCAGCCCTCTCGTGGACGCAAACGCCCCCGGCGCGCCTCCTGCTCTTCAAACGCTGGAAATCCACTCCACGAGAATGACGGAGAGGGCGAAGTTGGTGGGGTTGTGCTGTGGCTGATAGAGTTCAGGCTAGAGCTAAAGCTAGAGGTAGAACTTATCGACTCTTGAGCCGACCCAGGAAAAAACCACCTTGATGCCTGAGCCAGCAGCAGCCCTCATAGATGATCCCCGTCTGCTTCACCAGCAACCCTCTCGTGG